TACGTATAAATGACGAATAATATGTGTAATAACAATTGCCCTTACTACTGTCCTGATCATAATTTACTCCATAACTGATATTTAGTTTTATCAGTGATAAGATAAAATCCATAAATCCACATAAATATCTCACAATAATATTTATTGTGAAGTGCTCCATTTGACTTCGTTTTCCATAACGCTACGTATTTATTTGCTTGTTTGTGCATTTATTCAATTTTGTTTTTCAAATTCTATTTGTTTGTGTTATATTTCATTTCATTTTCGTTTCGAATTGCTTCATTTCACTCTCACAACTTCGGAATCTCAAAAAATTATCCGTTCTAAGTCATTCAACTCACTCAAATTTCTGCATCACCAATCCACATTTCCGGATCGCCATTCTTCCGGCAAATGAACTCGCAATGAAGGTTCCGTTTGCGTTACATTATATGGAGTGGAATAGAAGTAATGATTTGCTCCCAATTCTGGTGTGTCTTTGTGAACATTTCATATTCATTTTTAATGACACAATTAAGATGACGTTGATTCAAATAAATCGATGATAATAAAATAACAATAATAAAATAATAAAATGTTATACGTCTGCATTTTAATGAATCTTCCTTATGTAATGAATCGTTCCAGCTTTTTCACTCTCAGTTATTACTATTACCACATAACAGTAACAATACAGATGAACAGAGCAGACAAGTGAACTGATAAAAACTTTATTCACTGTCAGATTAACAAGTTAACAATTAACAAATAGAATTTTACAATGTTTGAAATTCTAAAATCTCCAATTATTTCTCATTATTAGAAATTTTTCATCTAGGCCGAAATTTTCCACAGAAATACCCATGGAAACCCGTTTCATGAAAGATTCCAAGCACACTTCAAACAGTAACAAAATTCCATTACTTTCGTTTCTTTTTCGGTATCAATTCCAAACCACTCATATACTTGCTATCAACACCATACTCATTTGTGAGTAGTTCACTAGCGAACTGAACCTGAAATGTGAAACGAATTGTAAAATGCTGAAAGACGAAAAGAAAATTTTCAAAAAAAAAAATTCCATTACAGAAAAATCTAATCAAAACCAATATGATATCTGAAAAAAAATTGAAATCCAATTTCCAAATAAGGAAAACAGAAAATCGCCATCAAATAATTGAATAATCACCTGATTTCCCTGAATGATCACCTGAGGTCCCTCACATAACGGTGCATCGTTGAGTATTGTTGCAGACGTAGCGATTCCAATTTGTACTTTATGACAGAACGGTTTCGCGTCAATTCCATAAACACAAAGATTGTTCACCAATGTTATCTTTTTATTACCCGATCGAGTTTCTACCTGAAGCAATTTTATCAAGAATTAGATATCTCCACTCAAATTTTATAATTAAAGTGTTTTATTGAATAACCAACATCTCCGCTTCTTGTCAAACAATTGAAAAATTCCATTGACAAACCAATTCCACACAAACAATTCATCCTCACTTACTTTGAAAACAATTTTCGGCAATTCAATTTTACGAACTGTCTCTCGCCCGTCTGCCGTTATAATGACGAATGTTTTAGTCATTTTCGATAAAATTTTCTGCATTAACGTATTCCAATCGATCGTCTCACTCGGATGCTTCACTATACTTTGCAATAGTTCGTCGTTTCGTAAATGAACTCGATTCTTATCGCCCAATTCCTCAAATTTGACTGGTAACATAAAAGTTTTGCACAGAACATAAAAATCATGAATTCACTAAATTTTCCATCGCCTACCCTATTCTTCGCATACGTTGTGACAATTTCTCGTACTCGTTTAGTCTCGAGCAGATCTCCCCTCGACAGTCCTCCTTCGAGGCGAAACAGCGGCAAAACTGGCTCAGTGACACTGAAGTATTCGTTGATCTGGATTTGAGATCGTGCCTTTGTCTGTTGCACCAAATCTTCCGTCACCTCGTCGGTTCGTTTGAAATCACTCAGCAATGGATGCTCCCAATTGATCTACAAAAAAAAAAATCGCTTGCGTTTCGTTTCAAAACATTAAGTGCACTCTTAGCAAATCAACCTAAAACCTTTCCTTCACCATCTAACATATCTAAACTGAAACAAAAGATGAACGAAAAACTGAAAATTTTTCAATTATTTCTCCATAAATGTCATAAATAAGCAACTTCAACAATCTCATCAAGGCCTTTTCCTCTCGGTGCTGTCTTCATGATTGATCCAGCAGCCGACGAATTTATTTCGTGCAAAAATACGGAGAATTTCTTGTATTTCGTCTTCTTCATGTCGAGTCTTCTCATTGGCGGACAACACGCCAACACGAAACGTGAATAAAATTCGCCCACATCCAACGGAAGTTCCACTTTCTTGGCCGCGACACGATACTTCAATGCGGCCAAAAAACAACGTTGCAACTGAAATTAGTCCATAACTTCATAATTTTTGCATGAAACTGAAACTTCTCAATGAGCTGATATCAAACGCAACCAAATCTTTCACGAACACAAGTTCGAATGTTCCATTTTTAAACATTTTAAACTTGACCTCAAATTTTGAACTCTGCCTAAAATTTGGCTTATAATTAGACCTAAATCTCCTCCTCATATAAAATCTTACAATGCAACAAAAATCCAAACTTCTCACCAACTCTTCCATTGTTTCGGATGGCTCTTCAAATTCAATCGCTCCTGATTCCGCTGAACCTTTTGAATCGATCGGTTGCTTTGATGCGACATCATTTGAGTTAACACTGGCTCCTTGACCATTTTCCTGCGGCTCCGTTACTGCAGTTTCAGGCTTCTTTTCATCGGCGATGGTCAGCTTCGCCCCAAGTTCTGGGAAATCCTCCTCACTCAACGG